TTATTAAAGTATTAACATTAAGATTAATAAATGCTATTTTATTTTGCTAAGTATTTTTCATTATGGGTACACTCTAAAAAATGCTGGGTTGTTTTAACCCAACTTTGGGTCAAATATGGACTAACCCAGCCGTTGGGTTAAATTTTTACATTACATTTTTAACCCAACATTTCGGGTTTGTCCATATTTGACCCAAAATTGGGTTAAAACAACCCAGCATTTTTTAGAGTGTATATTTTAACAGTTAACAAATGGAATCTTATGGTAAAGTGTTATACACCTTTTACAACAAACACTATGGCAATCGTTTACGATTAATGGGTGTTAATTAATTTATGATTAATATTTAGTCAATCAAGTCATATTTCCGAGCTGATCACTGAACACTCGAGTACACTCTAAAAAATGCTGGGTTGTTTTAACCCAATTTTGGGTCAAATATGGACAAACCCGAAATGTTGGGTTAAAAATGTAATGTAAAAATTTAACCCAACGGCTGGGTTAGTCCATATTTGACCCAAAGTTGGGTTAAAACAACCCAGCATTTTTTAGAGTGTATGATGAAGATGAGCAGAACGGTGTAACACCAGATTTAAGGCAGGAGACGGGGTGATGCTGGAAGAATCATCATGGATGAGCAGCGCAGATGTTTATACACTCTTCTGTAATGATTGACAGGATCAGATGAACGAGATCCTCCTCAGCCTTGCTTTTAAAACTCCATAAAGTAAATCTTCTTAGTGGAATACTCAGAACGATAAAGTCTGGCATCTGGATGTTTTACATTCGGTTACATATTAATAGATCCTGTAGTAAATATGTAGTTGTAAAAGCTTGGTGTTCCTGAATAACGTCTCCATCATGTCCTGAAACTGCGTGATGGATCACCCGAGGCGGTGTGTGATATCATCAGCTCTTCGATGGTGACAGACGACAGTCTCCACAGATCCTGACGCATGCGGTTTCATCGTCACGAGGGAAACCTCCAGACAGACTCCAGACGCGCTCGCGTAAACAGGATGTGCTTTTATTTTCCGCTTGATTTCCTGCCTAAAGTGTTTCCCAGACCAGGCCCGGCTTTAAGAGACTTTCCTACAGGTTTAATTGGAAGTCAGGTTTCATTTAAACTCAGCGTGTTGCTCTATGGTAAAAACAGCTTTAAACGTGTTTTATCGTCATCTCATCTCATTAGTATGCATAAAGCAAGATTCATTTTATATGCAGTATTTCCTTTTATGACATTTAAAGACAAATGTTTACAAATCCCAGGATATATTCCAGTTAGTTTGTGCCGTTTGGATTCAGTTCATTAAAAGTGTCTTTTTTCTGATAACATTTCTCCATCATTTAAAGATTAAAGCTTGCATATAATATAATATAATATAGTTTAATGTCAACTGTAAATGAATATAATAATTGTATTATATATTATAAAAACAGAGTTAGCTCAAACACCTGCGTATCCATTGCAGCTTTGGTATACCATGGTAATAATAAACTACAGTTTTATATGAAATTTATCATTTTTTCCAGCAAGGACATGTTAAATTAATCTAGAGTGACAGTAAAGACATTTATGATGTTATATTTTTAGTCATTTACTGCTGTTCTTTTCAACTTTAGGGATCCACAAAACTATTAAGCAGCACAACTGTTAAAGCCTGCTAAAATGAAAAATATTATATTTATTTCTAATAAAAGACTTCAAATTGAATAAAATTTCACAAAACTGATACTTTGATGGTATTTTTAAACAAATAAAAGCACAAGAAACTTTACATTACATTTTTGAACATTATGATGTATTTCATCGTTCTTTGTGTTTGGAGTGTGAAAATACAGGCGGATTATTTTTGGAAAGCCAGCGCTTGCAACATGATCATTCTTTGACCATTCCACGCCACCTGTCAAAATACACGTCTAATTCTTTATTTTTACTATTTTCTACATTTAAGAATAACAATAAAGTAATCAAAACAATGGAACTGACACGGGTCGGCTGCTGTGATGAGAGAAGTTGCAGGATCTATAGCAGTCACTTTATTTCACAACTATAGTCGAAATAACAAACACATGAAGAAGAAAAAGAGAAACCAACTAAAGAACCAACTCAAGAGAGAAGCAAAGCGACTTAAAGGAGTAGTTCACTTTTGAAAAAACTTTTGCTGATAATTTCCTCACCCCCATGTCATCCAAGATGTCCATGTCTTTCTTTCTTCAGTCGAAAAGAAATGAAGGTTTTTGATGAAAACATTCCAGGATTTTCTCCATATAATGGACTTCAATGGGAACCAAACGGTTCAAGATCTAAATGAGAGTTTCAGTGCAAACTGTTCAAAGGGCTTTAAACGATTCCAGACGATGAATAAGGGTCTTATGTAGGACCCTTCGAGTCATGACTCGAAAAAAGATTCGTTCATTTTGATGAACGAGTTCGAACAGGAGAGTCACGAATGCGCATCACAGAACAGAGCAAGGCGAGCATTTAAGCTTATAAAACTTAATCTTTGTTATTTATTTATTAAATGGCCGCTCGTTTCGCTTGATAAGACCCTTATTCATCGTCTGGAATCGTTTAAAGCCCTTTGAACAGTTTGCATTAAAACTGTCTTTTGGACCTTGAACCGTTTGGTTCCCATTAAAGTCCATTATATGGAGAAAATCCTGGAATGTTTTCATCAAAAACCTTCATTTCTTTTCGACTGAATAAAGAAAGAAAGACATGGACTCAGACATGGGGGTGAGTAAATCATCAGCAAAAGTTTTTTGAAAAGTGAACTACTCCTTTCACACCAACATGAACTGACAAAGAGCAATTCAAACAGAGGACTACACACACACACACAAGTTAACTGAGGGAGAAAACAAGCGACAGGTGGGGCTAATCAATCAAACAATGTAACTATGACAACAAAAGAGAAACGGGAATATAGGAAACAAAGACAATACAAACATAGACCTAACAGAAACACACGGTCGACACTCTTTGCCACGTTCTCGCTCTACAAACAGATCCGTCTCACTCTTTAACAGATCTGAAGAATGCACTCATTTGCAGCTTTTCTTCACTACTCATCCAGACACTTTGAATACATCTTGTGGGAAATTCCCTGAGAATGAATTATTCATAGCTAAAAGGAGGGCAAAATCTGTGCTGAATGCCATCTCAATTACAATTGTTCTGAATCGGCCCAAAGTGCATGACGGTTCTATAATGACAAGAAAGAACCCTGTTGGCACTATTATTCATTCACATATTACATTATTCTGCAACATTTTGAAGTTGTTATTAAATTTTTGTTTATTAAACTGTTGATCATGCTGATTTTTGGAGGAGAAAAACTGAAATGGCTCTCTCTTGTGATATTGATTAACTACATAAAATGATATAAATATAGACATTTTCTAACCCCCATATCTTGTGATCATTCACATGCATTCATAAATACATTTTAGGGTCTTAATGTTTGTCAATAATATGAACTATTTAATCCAGAAAGGACAAAACAAATGAAATGATAATGAACACTCTCAGAAAAAAAGTTAAAAAAGCTGTCACTGGGGCTGTACCTTTTCAAAAGGTACACTTTTGTCCATTTTAGGTGTTAATATGTCCATTTTAGGTCCTAATATGTACATTCTAGGTGCTAATATGTACATTTTAGGTGTGAATATGTACATTTTAGGTCTTAATATGTACATTTAGGTGTCAATGTGTACATTTAAGTGTTAATATGTCCATTTTAGGTCCTAATATGTACATTCTAGGTGTTAATATGTACATTTTAGGTGTTAATATGTACATTTTAGGTGTTAATATGTACATTTTAGGTCTTAATATGTACATTTTGGGTGTTAATATGTACATTTTAGGTGTCAATGTGTACATTTAAGAGATAATATGTCAATTTTAGGTCCTAATATGTACATTCTAGGTGTTAATATGTACATTTTAGGTGTTAATATGTACATTTTAGGTCTTAATATGTACATTTTGGGTGTTAATATGTACATTTTAGGTGTCAATGTGTACATTTAAGTGTTAATATGTCCATTTTAGGTCCTAATATGTACATTCTAGGTGCTAATATGTACATTTTAGGTGCTAATATGTACATTTTAGGTGTGAATATGTACATTTTAGGTCTTAATATGTACATTTAGGTGTCAATGTGTACATTTAAGTGTTAATATGTCCATTTTAGGTCCTAATATGTACATTCTAGGTGCTAATATGTACATTCTAGGTGCTAATATGTACATTTTAGGTGTGAATATGTACATTTTAGGTCTTAATATGTACATTTAGGTGTCAATGTGTACATTTAAGTGATAATATGTCCATTTTAGGTCCTAATATGTACATTCTAGGTGTTAATATGTACATTTTAGGTGTTAATATGTACATTTTAGGTCTTAATATGTACATTTTGAGTGTTAATATGTACATTTTAGGTGTCAATGTGTACATTTAAGTGATAATATGTCAATTTTAGGTCCTAATATGTACATTCTAGGTGCTAATATGTACATTTTAGGTCCTAATATGTACATTTTATGTGTTAATATGTACATTTTAGGTGCTAATATGTACATTTTAAGTGCTAATATGTACCATTAAGGTACAAAAGTGTGCCTTTTGAAAAGGTACAGCCCCAGTGACAGCTTTTGTACCTTTTTTTTGAATGAGTGAATGAACCCAAAAAGGTTCCATATACGTAGAACCTTTTTCCTGGTTACAAAGAATCCTAAAGCGTTCTTATTATTGAAGCGTTCTGTATAGAACCTCTTAGGGGTTCCAAACACGTAGCGCTGTTAGAACGTTTTAAGGTTCTACTGTATATAGAACCTTTTCTTCTGAGAGTGTATGTGTAAATGCACACAGGTATCCAGTTTAATTTAGTTCTGTGAAGAAATCCAGACATTCTACAAAAGTAACTTTAGGAACAGGATCATGCGAAACTGGTGACCAGTGTAGTGTACATGTGGAAAGCTCTCACCTGTTTGGATATTCTTTGATGACTTGGTGTATGGTGACCTTGAGCGTGATGTTCTCATATCTGACGGGACTTTGATCCTTATAAATCCTGAACTCGGCGGCGGTCACCGCCTCACCCTCGGGAATCTGAGTGAGGTCGAAGCGAAACTCCCGGTAGTGTCGTCTGTGATGGGAGAAATCCTTATCCCTCTCCACTGCACGGAAACACAAAGCGCACAATGAGAAGCGGAGCCGCACTGTAGGACTATCACACACACGCTAAGCGTCAAGAACTGCTTTCTTTAAAAAGTCATTCATCAAAACGGTCAACATTCCTCGCCTAATCCAAACATTTGGACGACCAACAAAAGCAATATCCAGTCCATTACAGCAGGCGTCTGAGCACAGGTAGCAGCCGCACAGGCCTTTCCCTGTGTCCGTGATGAATGAGCTGTCAGGGAAGAAAAACAGCCCGTCGCTAATAACACACTGCGCTCGCAGAGGACACAAATTCCATGTTTTTGTGAACAATGTCTCACAAGCTTTCTGACCTCCCAAGATTCTCATTTCTAATCTACAGAAAAGAGCATGTGTGTGAGAGGTTATCACTGTCGGAGATGTAGTGCTACCTCTTAAACATGTCCTAATGGTGGAGACCTTAACGACATATTTGATATATAGGAAGTGCTTTCTTCATATATCTGGAAACTGCTGTGCCAGAGGACTATCACACACTGCATTCCCTCGAACAGACCCGAGAGCGTTCAGACAGTATTCATCTCTGAATCACCGAATAATCGCTAATTATCAAGATTACATCATTCTCATCCATCAGCAGTAAAGTCATTACATGATCAATTTCTTGATTTAATAATTTTGTAAGGCAAGCACATGTTTTCTGAGTAAATTAGTTTTATTTTGGTTGAAACTATGGAAACTATGGTACATTTTTCGAATGGTGCGTTCACACCGGATGCGAATAGCGCGTCAGGCGTGAATGATTTCGATGTTAAGTCAATGCAAAGACGCGTTACGCGCGGAAAAATTCCTGCGGCGTGAATGAGGCGTAGAGCGCGGTGCGGTAGACGCGATTCGAATACGCCTTATTTCGAATACGCCTTATTTTTGACCGCGCACGCCGCGGTCAAAGTTCAAAATAGTTTAACTTTTGCCGCTGCACTCTGTGACGATTATCAGCGCGGCCAATAGAAACGGGACATGGAAACAAACACGGAAATCAAAATGGATGAACAGCTTGTACTGTCGGAATTTCCTGAGCCGTACGATACAATTTTGACATCGTCAGAAAAGCTGTCAGGTGTGTTTTAATATATGTAACGTTATAATTTCTTCGTTTGTTATTTGAATAAACGTTTTATTCTAAAAAAGAACTGAGCTCATGATTCATGTGTTGATTTCGATGTTATATATGTACACGCACACACACATATATATATATATTATCATACGGCATAGCGCAGCGCAAATCACGTTGTATCTGAAGGGCAACGCTCAACCCAGCGGCCAGCGCAGCGCATACCGCGTCCTGTGTGAAAGGCCCATAACACGTCAACTTCGAATGGCGCGGATTGAGCGTCTGGCGCATTAAGCGCGAAAGATTTAATTAGTGATATTTGTGCATTCACGGGTTTGACGCGAAAAAATCTGAACTTTGGCGTCAATTTGCGCTGCGTTAACCAATCAGGAGCCTAGCTGCTTGCTCACGTGGTGACGGATCTGGATGCTTTAATAAATTGTGTTATAATATGACTAAATGCCTGGTGTGTTTCTAATGCACAACAAAGCAAATATTTTATCACTTAAAACTTTATTTCACTATACGAGACATGTTCATTTAGTATTAAATGTTATTTATTCCATATCTAGATTAACTGAAATATTATTATGATGTAAAGACAACCAACATACTGTACATGTGCATGGACGTGACGGAGAAAAATATCACAGGACAGGTTAATAACTTTTGGAGGCTGGCTCTATTTATCATCAAAACAAATGACAGATTAGACGGATGAGGGCGAGGGTGCGGGGCAACAGGTCATCAAACTGGACGAGGGACAGGCGGAAGTACCGCCTTTATTAAAAATAAAACAGAGCAAATACAGAGCGGCGACTCTCTCGATGAATGCTCGATCAACATAAAAAAAGATGGCCGCCAACGGGTTTGGATTCTGACGTGCGTGAATTTCGTTTCAAACTTTTGTTTTTACTCTTGACGCGCGAATTAACACAAAGTGGTCAAGCGTCAAACTAGACGCGAATTTGACGTGCGGTGTGAACGCACAGTAAGTGAATACACTAAATTTGGTTACATCATTTATTGAAACGTACATGTGTGATTCTGAGTAAATAGACTCGTCTCTGGGGTTTTTCCAGATAACTAATGAACACTGGAGAACTTTCCTGAGGGAAACGCAACATTGTTCACAAGCTGTTTTATTGACGTCTTTCTGCGGTTGAAACACAGATTGAGAGATTACATGAGACAGTAAGTTGTACTGTATATTTCAACACACTTTCTGATGCTCATGCATTTGTTTCATGCTGTAACTTGTAATAAAGTGGAAGAAAAGGCTTGAGCTCCGCTCATACTGCGATCTCACGTCACATTTAAGAGAACAAAACGCCTTTTATTGTTTGAATTTCAAGATAAAATGGACAGAATATGAAAGAGGAGACTTTGTTTCTTATCAGAAGTAACGCACACAAAGCTCCTGTGATTATTGGATGTGTCATGTTTCAAGGTGATTCACAGGGTCAAATAGAGCCTGTTTTCTGTGTGTTATTGTCACGTTAACTTGCCATTTTCTTCACACACACACACACACAGTCTTTTGATTGACAGGATATCACCAGCCCTGATCATCAGCTGGTTTTAAACAATCGAGGATTTTTAAATACTTGTTTTTATTTACCTATTTTAATTAAAAGATAGCCTATATGTTTAAGGGGGGAGGCATTTTATTTTGAAAAACGCACTTTTAAAATGATTGGACATCTCAGTTTGGAAGAGATGAAACTGAAACTGAACACTAATTGTTGTTGTTACTGGACTAACTCGTGTATCCGTTGCCTAAAGCCTTGCATTCGTGCGATGTACATGAAGCGCAGTGTGTGTGTGTGCGTCCTGATAGTTTATCTACAGTGAAAGTCTGCAGTTACTTAACACGCAGAGGTCAGAGGTCAGGCCACAGTTACAGCAGCTGGCCAGACTCAACTCCAGCATCCTGAACGCTAATGAACAACAGAGGACGATGGGGATATAGAGCTTTCCAGCCAAAACACAGATATTCTTTCATTAATTCAGTGGATTTATTTCAAGAGATTGTTTAAAGTAAAAGTATATTTGAGTGCATGGCAATGATCCAGCTGTGGACAGAGGCTTACGCTCTACTCATAGTTGGGTTGTTTGTCTTCTTATCATTGTTTCCTACAGTTGCACTTTTTGATAACTATACAAGCTATTTTTATAAACCCATTAACTACAACATCAACACATTGGGTCCTGAAATGCAAGGCCGCAGTTACTATACACTCTAAAAAATGCTGGGTTGTTTGAACCCAAATTTGGGTCAAATATGGACAAACCCAATTATGGGGTAAAAATGCAATCAAAAAAATTTAAGTTGAAATGGAAAGTTGAAGTTGGGGTAAATTTTAAATTACATTTCACCGTATTCACTTTATAGCCCTTAATCCTGTAATGGTGGACAAAAGTGGAGGACTCAGGTGTGATCCTAATTTTTATTTATTATAAATGTTACTGTATATCACTGTCTTCGATAAAGTTTTGTCTATCCATTTATGGTGTTTTTTTTATTTTTGGGGGTATTTTTTAATTTATTTACTTCAAAATAGTACCATATTTTCTATGTAAATTATGCTTATTTTTATGTTTTAATTTTTTTTAAACTACATTAAAATATCATTCCAATAAGTTCTTAGAGCTAAAACCTAAAGATGAAGTGACTTTGGCTTATTTTAAATTAGTTTTTCCCATTCATTTCTTTGGGTGCCCATTTTTGACCCAAATACAAGATTAAGGAGTTATTGTTTTTGAGTAAAAAAAAAAAAAAAATATGTGTGTTCAGGAGGCAAACTTAGGAAAAGTAGCCAAGTCTTGTACCCCTCAGATCAAGGGAAGTGTTTTTTAAAAATAAATCAAAACTATTTTGCCCACATTTGTCCAGAATACAGTTTTAGGGTTAAACCAATTGTCCATATTTGACACACATTTGGGTTCAAACAACCCAGCATTGTTTAGAGTGTACTAGCCACTAGAATTTTATATATAATGCATAAACTCTAAAAAAAAAATACAGGGTTGTTTTAACCCAAATGTGGGTCAAATATGGACAAACCCAACCGCTGGGTTACAAATTAGTATTTTAAAATGAAACCCAATGACTGGGTTTGTCCATATTTGACCCAAATTTGGGTTGAAACAACCAAGATTTTTTTAGAGTATCCATTCTTCAATGGTAGTCTTTTAAAAATGCAAGCGCAATGTGGTGTTGACGAAAATATAAAAACATGTCTGACATATATCAACACTTCCAGTACTCATTTTCCTCAGAATCAACACTGAGATCAGCTGCTCTCTCTCTCTCTCTGACAGCGAGTTACACACAAACCCGCCTCCACTCACTCACTCATTTCAATCGCTCCGGATTAGGGGTTTGGGATTGTGTGTATTGCGTATTCAAAGTGCACACACACACAGCCGCTTATTTTTTGCTTCTTATTGCACTTAAACATTCAAATACACACACAACAATGACAAAATGCCGGTCTTGATGAGTATTATTCACGTAAACACAGTCAGTTATGTTTTAACATGAAGTTGAGAAAGAAAACGCATGTGTAACAGAATAATGCATCGGTGCGTCAGCTCTTAAAGTGACGGCAGACTAATAAACCGGCTGCAAAATTATGGGATAATATTAAAAATATCTATAATGAAGATTTCCTCCATGGTATCGATGCCAGAATCGTGGCCAGTGAAGATGCTGAGTAACTTTTATCACTCAAAAACTCAATATGAAGCCTTTTCCTTTACTTATAGATATAAACGTACAAGTTTACTGAAGTTTAACCTTGCCAGTAGCCTGTACTACAGTTGATTTTAAAGCATTGTCCTGGTCTCATCTACTTATTGTGTGTCTTATGTTGTATTGTGTATTTTTGTATGATATTTTGGTCATGTGACTGGTGTTTAGTTTAAGTATTTGTATGTAGTGCATTACTTTAATATGTCTCCGTTTTGATCTATTATAAGCTTTGGAGACCTGATTCACACATGACTATATGCCAATTGGTTTGTACCATTTGTCTTGAATTTATGTGTGGGTTAATAAATTGAATTGAATTGAATTGAATTGAATTGAAGCCCTGGCTGATTGTAGATGGAAAGAGCCGAAGCGCTTTAAAAGCAGACGCCGTACAAGCCCTGATGAGTGGAAACACATGGAGCGCACTTCAGGTGATGATGGGGACTACCTAAACACACACACACCGACATATCTGAGCCCCGAACTTTGTTTATACTGAACGTCTGACATATCCATAAAAACAGCATATCCGGGTTTTTTTTTTTTTTTTTGTGATTCATCCGGGTATGAATTTCTATGCTGTGAATAAATTACCTTCAGTGGAAGAACCAACAAAAATATGTCAAAACCAGCATCTAAGGCGTAAATTAGGTCTGCAAACTGCAAGAGAACGAAAGGCAGGAGCTACTGGCTCCAGATTAGCAGATTTAGAGGAAAAGCGGCCTTTCTTCAAGCTCTTTCCTCTGCTTAACAACAGGAAGTAATTAAGGCAAATTATCCTCAGGTCAGACAGTCACTCGATAAGTTTCCGCGGACTGTGAGGTGAGAGGTCACAGCCACTGAAGTTGTATACAGTTCAATCTTATCACAGCATTCTTCAAATAACAGCAAACGCAGTTATTACTAACGACGGGATATTAGCAAACCCTGCATGTAGACGTCGCGCGCGATTTGCTTCACTACGGCACCGTGCATGCGAGTGTGTTCAGATATAATAACACTCTTTATAGCCACATTTTTATTTTCCCTCTAGAACCTGCAATTGCCTCCGAGTTTCCAGTAACCATACAGTCCTATATATACTGTATATAAATACGCCGTTTATAGGGATTTCAAGGACAGGGTAAATGTGGACGACTATATTCCAGTAATATGAAAAAAAAGCACCTGCTATTTTAACATTCTTAGAAATTCATTCAATAACATGATGAATAGCTTTGGAAGGGACCATGTGTTTAATAACTTAAAAACAAACTTGCTGTAATATTGTAATGTAAATGCACAATCACTTCAGTGCACTATATATATAATCAGATGAAATCTGAGTGCTAAATTTAAATATTTTTTTTTTCAATAAGCCGTTTTCACTTCAAAATCATCCAGCAAATGAACATCATCTGAAGGTGTATTTCTTAGTTTGTTAAGTGTGTTTACTCTTAGACTCCAGTGTGTCTGCTGCATCCAACAGGTTATAATTTTACATTTTCTAAACTTGGTGAAGCTCTAAATCTGTAATACTGCGACGAACCAAACGGTAGCTGGCAATTATCAATAATGAGCATTTAACATCAGGAGCCGGGCTGTAATTGCATTCCTTAAGTCTGTGTTGGTCTGAGAGACCCGAGGCCCGATCTGTCACACACACACACACACACACACACACACACACACATTGCTATTTCCTAATGTTCTTACTTTTATATATATATATATATAAAGGTTATAAACAAAACCCCAGATATAAAACTAATTCTCTGACTGGTATTAGCGCTGTAGAAATGTTTATTTGCATTTGTTTAATTGTGTGACACAACATTCACATTTCTGATAAGCGCACAAACACTATAGAAATAAGGGGTACACTTTATTTGAACGTGTCTTTGTTACAGTGTATAAGTGATGAGTTATATTAAGTAACTGGTTTAGGGTTACTTGCATGTAATTATGCATAATTTACATGTTATATAAATGTATAACAGTGTGACAATGACAGAAAATAAAGTATACCGAAATATGGGGATACATATTAAAATAAAAAAATAATAAAAATCCCTGCGGTTTTAATTAGATCAGAGGAACAAATTGGTAACGCTATGTTTTGCTGGTCCGTTGACTATATAATAGGGTGACCAACTGTCCTGTTTTCCCAGGACAAGTCCTGTTATCAAATAACAATATAACAATTTTCTATCCATACAGAGGAGGCATAACCTACTTTAAATGTATTGAAATTAATATCTTTGAGTAAACTTCGAGTATCGAGACTGTGTTGGTTTGCCGGGCCGAGTGTCCTGGTTTTTGGTAATCAAAATATGTTCACCCTACTATATAAGTAACTTTGCAACGACATCAACTTATACCAGTCTACTAACACCCTAGTCAACAGAATGTGTTAAAGGGACCATCAAATTAAAGTGAACCCTATTTTAATTGGGAGTAAGTATCGACATACTTCTACAGTTCTACCTACCTAGATTGACAAAGCTCATCACCATGTCCGCGTCATTCAGAAAGTTGTTGTCGTGCGCGCTGGCCAGCGGCGGGCTCTGACTGGTCAGTGGCGTCGCGCGGTACGGCTGATGCGCGGCGCGCGAGTATCCATGTGGAACTCCAGACGCGCTTTTACGCGGCTTCCCCGCGAGCGCCTTCCCGAGTACGGCGTCCTCCTCGTCGGTCGTCATCGCGTTGTATAGGTCCAGCATGAAGAGCGGTGCCGACGACGCCTGTTTCCCCGGGGAGAAGGGCCGGGGACGGTGCGGCAAGCCCAGGATGGAGAGGATTTCTCTCTGGATCTCGCGCCGCTCGTGGTTGCGCAACCGCCTGTAAATAAAGCTCGAATGCACATGGTTGTCTCCTAAACCGCACTGAACCCCGTGAAGAAAACCGAGACAGCTCCACAGAAGTCCAAACGTTGGCGCTCTCATCTTTCTCTCTCAGGATGATGCGTTCACCAAGCGAGAGCTGGATTGATTATGGCGCTCTCCATGGTGCACCATTAATAACTTTGTTTCACTAGCCAAGTCTTTTACTCCGTGGATTTAGATTTCACCCCAGGTCATGCCTATTGCCACTGTTAGGCAACATGTTCTTCTCTAATGCCCTTCAGTTGCATCCTCGATTGAATTATTTAACAAACACGAGAGAGGAAGAACAACTTACGAGGACTCTCTTTTCCCCTGTGTGAGCCGAAGCGCGCGCGCACTCTCAGGAGTCAGTGCATGAACTGGTGGAGTGGAGCGCGCATCCCTGAAGAAGTGCTGGAAGCAGGAGTCCGTCCCACACACTCTGGAGGGTTTGCATCAACCTCTAGCGGTCGTGTATAAAACATCGCTGACCTGGGGCATGAATGCAGCTCACCGTGAAATGAGAGACACTTGATATATGAGACCTTTCGTGATTAGTCAAAGGAGAAGTCCAGGCGGGCAAACACCTGTCAGCTTTATTTCAGCGTTGCTCGGGCTGTGGCTGATATTAAAGCTCGACAGCTATCGAGTGCACTTAGTAGTTCGCTATGGCAGAGCCATTCTCTGTAAAAGGGCTTTTGGGAGACTTGTGCGCGTTTGCCATCTCAAATCTTGGAAACGCCGGCTTTAATACTGAAGGATCATGACATGATTATTACCTATACAACCAAGTATTCATTTCTTTACTAAACTAAAATTGCTAAAATTGTATTTTTACTTTGAGTATTTAGTGAAGGACGATAATTTAGTATTTTTTCTTCACTGTAAAAAATACTTTCAAGATTTGTTATCACAACATATTTTCTTTTGTCAAATCAACTTTATAATAATTTATTTAGTTGAGATAACTTTTTATTTTGAGTTTCTGATGGTTAAATTAACCTACTTCATTGTATTAACTCACTTTTTCCAGTTCAATAAACTTAAAATTTTAAGGCAACCCAGATTACTTACTTTTTTAAGTTAAACCAACAATATTTTTTTTACAGTGTTAGTAATCACAACATATTTTCTTTTGTCAAATCAACTTTATAATAATTTATTTAGTTGAGATAACTTTTTATTTTGAGTTTCTGATGGTTAAATTAACCTCCTTCATTGTATTAACTCACTTTTTCCAGTTCAATGAACTTAAAATTTTAAGGCAACCAGGTTACTTACTTTTTTAAGTTAAACCATCAATATATTCATCAGGCGATGAATAAGGGTCTTATCAAGCGAAACGATCACTCATTTAATAAATAAATAACAAAGTTTAAGTTTTATAAGCTCAAATGCTCGCCTTGCTCTCTTCTGTGATGCACGTTTGTGACTCTCCTGTTCGAACTCGTTCATCAAAATGAACAAATCCTTTTTTTTTGTGTCATGACTACATAAGACCCTTATTCATCGTCTGGAGTCGTTTAAAGCCCTTTGAACAGTTTGCACTGAAACTCTCATTTGGACCTTGAACCCTTTGGTCCCCATTAAAGTCCATTATATGGAGAAAATCCTGGAATGTTTTCATCAAAAACCTTCATTTCTTTTCGACCGAAGAAAGAAAGACATGGACATCTTGGATGACATGGGGGTGAGTAAATTATCAGCTAAAGTTTTTTTTTTTTTTTTAAAGTGAACTACTCCTTTAAGTCCACTCTATAGTGAACAATGACACATAGACAAAACAATGCGATTTTTTTTTTCATTCACCAATCAATTTTTAGGTTTCATGATCTAAAAAAACGAATTAATTGATTTACAATTTTGCTTTATGCTTTAGTTATTGCATATTATTATGTTCTTGGGGCACCGTAATAGAAGTAAGATTTGGCAACATTTCTCATAATAATATCTAATATCTCATAGGAATATTGATGATATATGATTTAATTCCCTATTCAATGGTCGTGTCTCTAAAATGCCTGATTAAACACGCTGTAACTCCACATGTATGAATCAATGCCCTGTTTTGTAACAGAAACGCATATTTTGATTGGAAACTTAGAACAGTTTCCTTAGATGTTGATTTATGGCGAGCAATTTGAAAAATTGTCAGATATAAATTGCCACGATAATTACAAAATATTATCACATTTCCATAAGAGTGCTAAATTTGATCACTAAATTAATGTCAGTCATTTTTAAAGACCAAAGAGAAGTTATTGTCATGGTGAAACCTACAAACATCTCTGAAAAATGTCCTGTAACTAAATATATATAATCTCCATGCACTATTCCTGGGCCAATGCAAAGCAATGAGAGACCAGGACCCGTTTACAGCCCATTCTCACTCCCAAGGCGTCACCTAACTGACGCATTGGGAAGCATTTGGACAGAGTGAGTGAGCCCAAAATTTTGACCGCTGGTCAAAACATGCAGGGAAATCTCGTCATGAACATCCTGACTGTAAGAAAGAGCAACAGCGCCATCTAGGACTGGATTTCAGCGTTTCAACAGGAACAGGTTTGAATATTATTTCATTCAACAAGTATACTCCATAATCTCAGACTAGTTTGATTAGACTGCCTGCTACCTAGAAAATTAATTAACCATAAATATAATTAATGCTACTATATATTAGAGTAGAACTTTAAGAAACATTTCACTTACAATAAAAAAGTGATCAATCCATTGCAGGGCATATATAGATGGAAGTCCAACAGTGTATTTGTGATCTGTTTTTCTGGTTTCATTTATGAGTTGTGACATAAGAAATAGGGATAATCGGCCAGCACACATTCACAACATCATAAATAATACTGCTATTAAAAGAACATGAAGCAACAACAACACCAACAAAAAATAATAAAAAAAGGTTTTAATTAATATTATTAAAAGTCATTCAAACACATGAATGTTATAAAAAAATAATCACTGCAAAAATAAGAAAGCGCTCTCACAGGAGAAGCTGTAACTGATATCAGTTCTTATAAATAACAAAAAAATTATACATTTATTGGAAGGTGTGCTTTATTACACTCTTCTACACACCCTTTATCGACCAAGGGTTAAAGAAAGAAAATCACAATTGTGTCTCATTTGCTGTAGAGAAAGGCGGATTAAAAGGTACCATTTCAACATTTAATACAGATATCGAACCACACTCACAAGTGTAATCTGGAGACAGCCTGGAAAATGTGTGGGAAAACACTCATGGACATTTCTATAGTGAAGAATATATACTTTTCTGCTCTAAAATAGGCTAGATTTTATTAAATAGATTTTTTTAAAATGTTTCCTGTAAATCACAAATACCAGGAAAAGTCATGAAAATCGACGTGGGAACCCTATAAGGGATGAGGACTCGAGAGAGACGGAGAAGGCATCGTAGACACGACGAGACGCTGGCGACGATCTCTCCTCACACACACCGGATGCTTTTCACAAGCTGATGCGTTTCGTTCCTCGTGACAAACATCATGGCACAGTAAGACGAGTGTCGAATGGAGTCGTCGCTGGTGTTAATGTATTATTTACACTTTAAGAGGTACTTCATGTGCCCGTGAGTGCGAGACACTCTTGATCGTCCTGAGATTGGAAAGATTCGCTGTTTTCTCTCATTCACTGACTGTCTGCCTCTTTCAATAGTTTGGGCCTTTACTGTAAGGGTCTCTTCTCATCATTGCAGCGTAGCACATGTTGGGATGGCACACTCCGGGCTGGCCGGGGTCCCCGGGGTGTCCTCTCTTCCCCTCCTCTCCGCCGTGACCCGGTGACCCCGGTTTGCCTGGCGCTCCTGGTTTCCCCACTCCGGCCGGACCCATCGGACCTGCAGTCAAAGAGACGTTCAGTGTCAAAGTGGCGTTCGGACGGTCTTTGTGAGCTCACTTTAAACTACTGTCCACCATGTAAATAATTATGCCTGCAAAAAAATGTCACATGGCCCCTAGAATTTTTTGTTGCATGAATATCTGAACATGCGATACTTACGCATAACACTTTACAATACGGGTGCACTAATAATTTATTAATGCACAGATAATACTAAATTAATGTGTAACTAATGATTATTTAAGCTATTCATTAATGATTACCACATTAGGAACTAATTAAGAGTCTGTAAGGTTAATGTATTAGTTCATACTATTAAATATGTAATTGTGAACTAATTCCATAATAACTCATTTTTTTAACTAATAGTGTTAATTAATGAGCCAAAGCCTTGTATTTCAACTTCCAGATAATATGACAGGTACACTAATATGCATTAATACATGATTAATTACTTAATTGTTAGTGCAAATTCATGTGCAAACTACTAAATGACTAGTTAATAATGATGTGCCCCATCGAGTAAAGTCATAACATAATGATGCCTTTGCAAATCATTAGCTAATGATTCATTAAAGCAGACAACTGGAAGTTGAAGTGCATAGCTTTGACTAATTGTGGTAATTAACACATTAATTTACTCTATTAGTTAATAAAATATGTTATTAAGGAATTAATACACAATGACACATTGAATTAATAGCAATTCATGTATTACTTCATCTATTAATCATATAGACTCCTTATTAGTTGCTTTAATGGTTTAGTTCTTCATGAGTTATACATTGACTCATGATTATCTGTGCATTAGTTAAGCATGAATTAATGCATATTAGTGCACCCGTATTGTAAAGTGTTACCACAACGCCTCTGGCTTTAAAAAAAAAGAAAGAGACACGATTCTTTTATCAACATTTGAATGAGGGGAAGTTTCATAAAAAAAAATGCAGAGCAAAAATCACAGAAAATCTTGTTTTTGTCAAAGACTACATCTGAATCAGATGGACGCTTGTTTCCGCCATGGAATAAAATATAAAAAAAGGTAATTGTGACTTAATTTCACAATTCTGACTATAACATTCAATTCTGAGATAAAAATTCAGATTTTTTTTTTTTTTGACATTTTCACACTTTTTGGGCTTGTCAAAGAGTTGGTTGCTAAGTAAGCAAGTTTGCACACATCGTTAAGATAGTGTGCGTGTGTGTGTGTGTTGTGTATGAATGAGTGTCTAAAGTTGTATTGTGCTATAATGTGCTTAAGATGATGCGATATTGTCTGTGTGTTTGTTGGGGAGCAGTGAAACAGAGAGTAAATAGGCTGATGGTAGACCTGTTATTTACGATGGACATCACTCTTTTCATAATCAATTATTATTTTAAAATAATTTTAAATTTGTTATACCTGCCCAGGGACTACAGCTGGAAATTAGCAATTGTTGCTACAATCTGGCCTAAGACATATTCTCTTGTTTAACAAGTTTAATGTTTATTTGTGGATTGTCCCTGTTTCAAATTAAATAATTTCCATTCCATTCCATATAAACTCCCAATTCTGCAAGTTTATGCATTGTGGATATTAAAAATTAATCACAAGAAGATGCATTTGTCAGTGATCCAATCACAAAATGTCATCCGAGGCGCATTACTGTT